GGGGGGGGGGGGACCCCAATCGGTTGGGGTTTATTTTCGCGCCCTTGACGTGTAACAGTCCCATTGGTCATTTGCTAACTGGATGGACACATTAGCGAATGTGTAATACATGCGCGTAGGGCCAAGGGTAAAATGTATTTATTAGTTAAGGGTTTCACGAGTTTGAGTGTTTAAATGGGAAAGTCAGTTGGTTTATTAGTTAAGGGTTCTATAACGTGACTGAAATCAAAAGCTCAGACCAAATGAAGCTCGATCAGCTTTTGATTAGTGTTATGGCCATATATTTTACCTACATTTTAGAAAAATCTCAAATCCCAAATCCCATTAAGCTGGTTTTGGGCCAAAATATTACTATTATATTTTTTAAAAATTGCCCCAAACTTTTTTAGTTTATTAAAGAGCCCGCCATTTATTATTTTGTAATAATTTTGCTTCATCTTCTCGGTCATCTAATACCAAATTTATTTCTATTCAGGATTATGGTTTGCGATAATATAATGAATGTTATTGATAATGGTACTGTTAGGTATTTGTGATAGTTTTTAGAAGGTGTGATGGCTTTCTGACCACTTAAATTTGTAAGGCTTTTAAAAGCCGATACACAAACTTTGGACTTTCCCATTTAAACACTTAAACTCGTGAAACCCTTAACTAATAAACACATTTTACCCTTGACCCTATGTGTGTGTATTACACATTCGCTAACGTGTCCATCTAGTCAGCAAATGACCAATGGGACTGTTACACGTCAAGGGTGCAAAAATAAACCCCAACCGATTGGGGTCCCCCCTCTTTTAATTAGTAGACCGACCAAAACACACCTTTCGTCTCTTTTCTTCTCTCTAACCAACCCTCCCCTCTTAAACCTAGGTTAAGTAATGGCCTGAAAATTAGTCATCTCTTTCCAAAATCAATCCTAATCACTGCAAAACCAACCGATTGGGGTCCCCCCCCTCATCTTTTAATCAAAAGCTGATCGAGCTTCTGGATGGACACGTTAGCGATGGACACGTTAGCGAATGGCCATAACAATTTTAATTTAGCTTGAAGATGAATTTCAGAATTTTTCGAATATTAAAAATACTTCAAAAAGCTTTTTTTCAAAGAAAATTCACTTCAAATCACTCACAAAAGTTAAAAAATAACCCAAAATTATATTCATGTCAAAACACAACTCTAATTTTCAAATATCATTTTTTCCTTGAAAAAAAATTTCACCTTTTTCCCGAATTTTATAATTCTTATGTCCAAACGTCCACTTAATTTTATTACAACATCTTATTATTAAAAATGATGAAGAATTAACCCAAAAAGCGGCCCGCCTTATCACTTAAACAAAAAATAGGCAATGAGTGTATAATATATGCATAATTATGTATTATATATGTATAATCAATGTAAAATTTATGTATATGGCTAAAAAAAAGTAATACGTAATTAATATGGTCAATTATTTTTGTAAAGATCCCTAAAATGATTGTAAATAGTTTAACAAATGTGAGGAGACCAGCTAATATGAAAATTTCACCTATATTTATGTCTACCTCGTAGGCTCTAACAATAAATTACTCTTTTGTTATTTTACCGCTCTTTTGTATTTTACCACTTTTCAAATAGTCCCGCGCTTATTGTCATATCCTCCACGTTCTCCCATTCTTTCCCTCCTTCTCATTCACAACTCCAACATATATATATACTTTCCCTCCCAATTTCCTCACATATTTCATCTCCCCAATCTCTGCTTCTTACGATCTGCAGAAAGTGAAAATGGCGAAACAAAGCAAATCAAGAAGAGCTGAAAACATAGGGAAAGGCAAAGTTACTCCTGTCCAAATTGCTTTCATCGTCGATCGTTACCTTTCTGATAACCATTTCACTGAAACCCGCTCCACTTTTCGCTCCGAAGCTTCACATCTACTCTCTAAATCTCCCATCCATGAGGTAACCGTTTCACATTTTTTCGCACATTTCTCTATGGATTTAAGTTATATACGTTGACACTTTATTTTTTGTTTTGATTTTTGCACTATCAAGGAATTTTAACCTAAGATTGTATGTTCTTACCATTTTCCCCAGATTACTTATTGGAGATGCATTAGTTATTAAGAGATTTACCTTAATGATCCAATAATTGACCTGTTGTGTAAATAAATTTTATAATGTCAATGCACAAAACTTAAATTCTATTAAATATAGTGTTAGGTGTACATTTTAGATTCCATGAATCATTGAATTATTTCTGTTTTTTATGTTTTATTATTTTTGAACAGGCGCCGAGGAGTTTATTGAGTTTAGGAGCAATGTTGGATGAGTACATATGTTTGAAAGAGCAGAAAGTGTTTTTGGAGCAAGAGAAAATGCAGGTTCAGAATTTGCTAAGGGGGATGCAAGGTGTTATGAACACTTATAATGCAAGTGCAAATGTGACACCACCTCCCTCAATTCCTGATTCTTCAATGCCCAAATCAACAGGTTTCAATTCTGTCTTTTTACATCTATTTCTAACTATCCTCCCCAAAGCCTTATACATACTTGCTTATCTGTTTGTTATATTTTTCTCAATAGTGTTATAGTGGTTTACTTAACAGGTGGGAGCTAGTAGCTCCAAGATTTTGCCTACAATGGTTGCATCCAGCAAAAATAATTCCTTTTCACACCGTTAGAGCACTACATAATTTGTTGTAGCTTCAAGGTCTCGGTTTATGTAATTTTTCAACATATATACACTTGGGAAACACTTTTCTGGTCCCAAATTTCCAACTGTGGCACCGCCTGAGCAAACATAACGTTATAGCATCAGTCCTTGAGACCTTAAGATATGCCACCTTGAGTCTCACATTCCCAATTTTGGTATCACTGGAGCTATATGATATATGGACAACCTTACATTTATAGATCGTTTAAACCTTTGGATAATATCACACTTTTATCTGTGTATTACTTCAATGACGATGTTATAGGCGCACTTATCTTGATCTTTCCTATTGTCTTTGGTGGTAATACCTTTGTGACTGATGAACTTCAAGTTTGATTTTCTTCTTCTTTTAACTCTTTGAGTCAACCAGAGTTTTATGTACATTGATGTGATGGTCAAATTAGTACATTGCAATAATAGGCTGACTTATCTGATGTCTTACTCACTAAAGTTGGCTCCTCAATAAAGTTCAGTACATTCCAATTTGAATTAGGAATTCTGTGTCCAACTCTATGCAGCCCTTAACTACATATGCATCTGATCATATATGTATTATCTATTCCAACAAATAATACAAAAGGAGGTTTTCGCACTTGTATTGTTGTTGCGGAGTGGACATATATTCGCAGATAAACGCACAGGTCCTTGAAAAAAGGATTGGTATATAGCACCATTATTAATCAGACAGGATTGATTGAATTTGCATCATTCCTAGGATACAATAACAATCCATTGCTTTTTCCCCTGAAAGATGTGCTATTCCATGTTATGAATGCCAATATTATTCATTAACTGCAATAATCAGGAAACAATCAATTCCTTAGATCCATAGTATTACATACTTTCTGGAACTGACTTCTATTTTGTAAAATTTATCAGGTTATTGTTCTGGTTCAGCTCTTATGCCAGCACCAGTGCCTTCGAATACTGCTGCAGATGCCATGAAATTTTCTTATCCAACTTCCATCCCAACAACTTCAAAAAGAAAAGGGTCCAAGGATGTTTCATATGCTTCCACAGCTGCCAAGAAATCTCGTACTCGGTCACCCACCAATCAGTACAACAATGTTATGAAGAGCTCTGCAGTTCAGTTATCAGATCCCATTGATGAACCAAAAAAGTCACCAATCCAAGGATTTAACATTGACGAGTGTTTGGTGAACTACCCCATTCAGCCGCTTGTAACTAATTCTTCTGGTCCTGAGACACCTCCAATAGAATCTTCATCCCAAATTGATAAAGCTATCTCTCCACCAGAAATTTGTTCGACAGCAACTTTCAGCAAAGAAGCTACTCCCTCTCATCTAATGTCGACTAACCGCATGATTATCTCTTCAGAGACAATTCAAGTGACCCCCACCAAACAAATATCATACTATTCCATAGAAAGAAATCAATGTGTTTCGACTTCCTCACCGGTTAAAGCAAACCTGAAGAGGCCTATGAAGAGAGATCAAGTAAAAGGTAGGCTGGATTTTGATGCCTCAGACATTCCAAGTAGTTCAGATATGCCACAAATTCCTGACATGATTTCAACATCTGAATCTGAGAAGGAAGGAGATATTTTTGACTTGGATTTTCCTAACTTAGATGCTCTGGGTGCAAATTTTAGTTTTTCTGAACTGCTGCGTGATTTTGACATTGATGGACAAGGGATTGATTATTCTTGCCAGGACAAACTGGACTTTTCTCCAGATTCATTTTCAGGGTAAAAATTCTTGCTTTTTGTATATGAAGAAAGGTTTCTTGTTGCATCCATAATATAATGCCAGTTAAGGTACAAATCTAAGTTTTCTTCTAATGTTTAATGCACAGGTCACCTTATGAGTCTGGAAATGTCAACAATGATGCAAACCAGATTACATCACAGATTTCATCGACAGTTACTGAAGTCTTTTCAGAGAAAGATACAAGTTTACTAGGTAAAAGGGAATTCTTGACTATGCAATTGCATGTGATCTTTTCTGTGAAGGTGATATTAATGGTTTTCACTTTTGTCATTGATTCTTCAGGTTCAGATACTGTGAAAACTGTGAAATCTGTAACCAAGCGTGTCCAGCTTGTAAGTCCTGGTAAGTGGTAGTTGCTTCACTTTCAGCTTTACCTTTTATTTTGTATAAACAGCTAGTAGAGTCTACAAGACTAGTCGATTCTATATCTTTATTGCCTTTGCAGTTAAGAGTAACAGAAGCTCGAGAGATTAGAACACGTATGCAAGAAAGTGACTAAATTCTTTGACAGATGGATATGGAAGCTGATATGCTAGAATTCATCACAGCTGACTTGATTCATGAAACCCAATAGAATGACCTTTTTAAGAGTCACTATTCTTTCATTAGTAATGGATTTGAGTAACAGAGAAGCCTCTAGGTACATTTTGTGTGTTTGATACACTAAAATATCTATTGTACATAACTTGCATTTTGTCGGATGAAATCAAATTGGATAGCTCTCAGGCAAGGTACTTTTCCAGCTTCTCAATTTCTTCTGGGCTTCCAATAAAAATAGGCGTTCGTTGATGTATCTGCAACAAAGAAAAGTAATTAAGGTCTTATAGACTAATGAAGAAAAATACACTACTATGATGCTTGAACCATTCTTTATCATTATATTACATAATTTACGAATAGAGGATCTCAAATTTACCTGCTCAGGCATGATATCCAGTATCCTTTGGGTGCCATCTGTTGCTTTGCCACCGGCTTGTTCTATGATATAGCTCATTGGAGCACATTCATACAAGAGCCTCAAGTTCCCATTCTTGGCGTTCTTGTTCTTAGGATTACCATAAATACCGCCATACAACAACATTCTGTGGATTTCACCCACAAGACAACCAATGTAACGGCCTGAATATGGCTTGCCATTCGGACCTGGTTGTCTTAAGTGGTCAAGATAATTCTGCAATTTCTCATCCCATAGATCATAATTTCCCTCATTAAAGGAATAGATTCTTCCAGCCTTTGGTATTTTGATATCTTCATGTGTCAAAACAAATTCTCCATATGCTGGATCTAAAGTAAATGCATGTACTCCATTTCCAACTGAGAGTGTGAAAACCACTGAACTTGAATAAAGACAATATCCTGCTGCTACTAAATTGCTCCCTGGCTGACAAACGCTAACGATACACTTTTCCCTGGCTTGGTCAATCTGAAAATCCAAGAATTACTGGATCATGAGATGCAAATTAAATTGAAAGCTCCTTATATTAAGTAAGAAGACTTGTTTTTCTGGGTGATTCAGGTTTCTTTTTAGATGTCGGTAGAAAATATAAATAACTTTTTGTGCTTTTCATAAAAAAAAGGAGCAGCTCGGTACATAAAGCATCCCCGTTCACGCAGGATCCTAGGAAGAATGCACCCATAGCAGTGTGATATAGACAGCCTACCATAATGCAAGCATTAATGACGGCTTGCATGGCTTGAACCATGGCCTCCCCTTCAACTTTCTATGCTTTTCATAATTAGTTCTGTTTTTTTTTATATACAATATTGAGCTGAGATGAGTTTAAATGGAGCGATATGAACAATGATGATTCATATAGCCGATACCAACTTGCTTGGGTTTGAAGCATAGTTGTAATTATACATAAGTTTCATGTTAAAATTGCGAGAGAATTACCGTGGAATCATCATCCATGTCTACAAGGCATACTTGATCTGGACCATAAATTCCAAATATTGATCCAGTGGTTAAGGCAATATCTATATTAGCAGATCCATCAATGGGGTCAAACACCACAATGTAATTTCCAGAGTAAGTTTCTTCAACTGCAACTGGTACATCTTCTTCCTCTGATGCTATAATTCCTGTCCTTCCACTTGATCTTAGACAATTGCAGAATAACTACAACAGCACAAACAACATTTTTAGCTGATCACTACACTAAAATCAAAATAATCTAATTGTTGGGAGGTAAAAAAGCAACAAACCTCATTGGATACAACATCAAGTTTTTTCTGATCTTCACCTTGGATATTAACAGTGCCTTGAGCTCCAGTAAGGTTAACAATACTTGACCTTTGTAAAAGTGAAGCAATTTGCTTGCAGGCTAACGATATGCTCGAAAGAACTATGGCTAATTCTGCATCAATGTTGCCTGCTTGTTCTTGCCGCAACAGCCATGTTGTCAAGTTAACCATTTCATATCGGTTTATCGGTTTCTTGATCTGTGTTGGGGCTGTTTTTGCTCCATCCAAGCTTGCTGCTTCGCATTGAATTCTTGAATTGGAATGAGAACTGAAATTGCCATTACTTAGCTGTTGTGATCTCTTGGTATTGGTGGAAAGGAGATGGAAATTAGGAGAGAGACGAGAAATGGAAGAAGAGCTTGAGAATTTGGTGTTCCAAGTAAATCTTGGAATAGCTTCAGCCATTTCTTTCTTCTCTCTGTCTCTCTGAATTGACTATTGGATAGCCAGCTTATCTTCTCATTTTTGACAATTGTGTAAACATGATTTGTCACGATAATATCTAAAGTTCCAAAAAGTAAAGAGCAACTTGTTTGAAGATCAAAAGATATGCGGCTGAAAATCTAAGGGATGAAAATGGTGTCCCTACAACCCCAACAGAAAGTTGATTTCACTTCTAAATGCTTTTATTGCAAAGGGAAGAATGAATTCTTTGGACTTAAAAAGGAAACTTTGAAAATCAAATTTTCATGTTTTTATGGTTGTAAATTGTAATGCATAGTTCAAAGAAGAAGCAATAGCAGAAGTCCATCATTTCAAATACAAATAGAAAGATGGATTCAATCCTAAAGGAGTATCTCAAAATTTAGTAAAGGGTTTGAGTTAACTTAATTCATTGTTTTAAATTGTGTTGGAAGCTCATATTCTAACATTGTCATTAAAGCCAAAATTTGGTAACACTTCTTAGTCTATTGAAAGGGAAACCTTGGAGCAATGATAAAATTGTCTCCATGCAACCCGTATGTTAGGGGTTCGAGCCGTGTTAGCAGCTACTGATATGGTGTCCATCTCATTCAAATGATTTGGTAGCCAATTTTGTTGACTTGATTTGGTTTGGTAGCCAACCTTGTTGAAATTGTGAAAAGGGTGTGTAAATTGTCAAATATTGTAGGCTTTAGAGAGTAAGGTTTTAGCTATAAAAGGAGAGCTTTAACTCTCATTTCGACACACCAACAAAGAGAGAAAAGAGAGAGCAATGTATTCCATAAACTATAAGAAAATAGTTTGTGAAGAAAAATAGAGTGTGAGAGATATTGTAGTGAGGTGGAAAAAAGCAAAAGAGTGTTTATTTCTTTTGAGGGTGTAGTGGTCTTAGGAGTATTTTTTACTCGTTACTACACATTGTAAAATTCCCCGCTATAGTGATATCAGTTGCTCTTCTTGGCCGTGGTTTTTTCCCTTATTCAGAAGGGTTTCCACGTAAAATTTTGGTGTCATTATTGGTGCATTTCTATTCTTGCTGATTTAACCATAACTTAGTGTTCTGCGTTTATCACTAATACCGTGANTTGTAAAATTCCCCGCTATAGTGATATCAGTTGCTCTTCTTGGCCGTGGTTTTTTCCCTTATTCAGAAGGGTTTCCACGTAAAATCTTGGTGTCATTATTGGTGCATTTCTATTCTTGCTGATTTAACCATAACTTAGTGTTC